CTTGAGAGCACAAGTTCTGCAATCATAAGTATCGATACTTTCAGTTCTGTATATCTAAGACCCATAGCTTCCATTTTCACTGAGGACTATTACATTTGAAGCTATGAAAGAACATATTTTAGTATAATACAGAATTCTGGTTTAATGTGATTTATCACTGATTCTTTGGGGTCTAAATAAATTCTGCATTAGGGAACAAGATCAGAAGTTTTGCCATGTGGTCTGTACTTCTTGGCAGTTCTTAACTTTCTACTTCATTACCCAGTTGCTGGTTCACCTGTGAGTCTGAGGGAGTCGTTAAGCATCATTTAATCCCTGCGGCTGTCCACTAGGGTACATACTACATACAGTTGTCCATATAAGAGCAGTTTGCGATGTTTGCAAACTGGAGATGTCCTTGTGCCAAATTTTGGGACATATACGAGGTCTGTCCAGAAGGTATCTAGACATGTAATATGAGAAATGGAGACATTTATTGAAGAAGATATAAGACACAAGAAATATTGTACATAGAGAAAAAAAAGAAACATTATACATAGGACAGTGATGCCTCAGGCCCCATTCAAAGTAGGCACCTTGGGACCTCACACAGTTCTCCCCGTTGCCATCAGCTGCCCTGTCACATTTTCTTGAATTTCATCAACAGTCTGAAATCTCTTCCCTTTCAAAGTAATTTTAGTTTTGGGAAAAGCCAGAAATGGCAGGGCATGAAATCTGGGCTGTGTGGGGCTGAGTCACCTGGGTGGGTGATTTGATGTTTTCCCAAAAAAACTGTGCATGAGATGTGATGCATGAGTGGGCGTGGTGTTCTGGATGAAGCTGCCAATCACCGGTGGCCCATACCTGTGGCCTACTGGATCATCCGAATGGTTTCCATGCAGGAATGTTCAAGCTTCACACAAAATTGGATGCAGATTAATTTCTCTACTCACTTGAGTCATTTTGAATGAGATGGCCACATAGTCCACATGCTCACACAACAATGTCCACCACCCACACTGACTAGTACAGTGAAGTCATTATTCATGCATGTGCATTCCTGTGCACTCTGCTTGTTTGCCAGGTTACATCGATGTAACGCAAACCATTCCCGTTACATGGCTGGGCTTTTTCCGGACAGACCTCATATTTAAACCACTTGTGGTTGTGTCTCTCCTTGGTGTCTTGATCTGATCCACAGTCACATTCTCATTGCACCTCAGTCTCAGAATTGCTGGAGAAGATGACTGCCTGTGTCTTAGACCCCGGCCTCCTTTCCCACACACAAACACACCCATATGTTTCATTGCTCTTGTTAAGTTACAGCTTCCCAAAGTGGTGAGACTATATCCAGCAGAAGTATTTTTATTTGTTATTTTAACCAAGGGAGGTTATTAAATAGTCTCTCATCTTATTATGGCAAAATATAATATAATAAAAAAATTATTGGCACTTGGGTACTTTCTGATTTTGGCTGGACTGGAGTAAGTATGAATATTTTTGATCTGCTAATTTATCTTTTTTCTAAGAGAAATTAAAAAAAACAAATGCCATAATTGGAATATCCATTGTTACTGGATTTAGCTCAGCCATTCAGATAAAACTTAATTGCCCTGGTACTTCAGAAGAGTTGTCCAGCCCTGGCTGGTGTAGTTCAGTGGATTGAGTACAGGTTGCGAACCAAAGGGTCTCTGGTTCAATTCCTCCCAGTCAGGGCACATGCCCGGGTTGTGGGCCAGGTCCCCAGTAGGAGGCTCACAAGAGGCCAACCACACATTGATATTTCTCTCCCTTTCTCCTCCCTTTCCCTTCTAAGAAAAAAATAATAATTTTTTTTAAAGAACAGTTGTCCAAAGAAATTTGCAGTGGCATTCATATGTACGTGTAACTTCCATGACCTCAAGCATGTACTCATTCAAGTGTGTGTGTGTGCCCCGGCACAGTATGAGAATGGGAGACACAAATCTGTATTCTTTGGTCAGTTTTAGTTCCTGTTTTCCTCTTTTTATGGACGTTTGGCTGCATCAGGTATGATTCTAGTATTTTTTTAAAAAATATTTTGGTATACCATGGTTCATACATAAAAGCACTTATTTTATACTTTATGCTTAACTTAAAAGAAATTCAAGGACAGTCATGATGGAACGTGACTTAGGCTCTATCTCCCATGCAAGGTGATAGGACTGCTGTTTCCTGCTCTTTCCATCCTTTGAAGTCCTGAACATTGGACTCTGTTTCCTGCAAAGCTACAATGGCACATATGGCGCTCAAAAAGGGTTTTCATAGTTTAGTCTGAGTTGAGCTAAATGTAGCAGCAGCAGCAGGCTGGGGGCTTTTTTCTTTTTAAGATGGGTTGGGATGCATTTTTTTTCTTAACACACCTTATTAATTATTTTGGTGTTTTGTTTATTTTTTAAAATAGAAATAAAGCTGTTCGACTTAAAAATGAGCTGGAGAATTTTACGAAGCAGTTTCTACATTCAAGCAATCAAGAAGCATCTTAACAATAGAGATCGCTTTGGTGATCATCATTAAGAGAAAATGCAACTTGGATGATTTGGGACAGTTATTTTTATGAAATTATTTTAAATATGAATTGTACCCACTATACCTAAATAGCAAATTCTTGTGTAGATTCTGGTAATGATCTATCTCAGGGTGTTTGCATTTCTGAAGAGTGTTATTACGTTTCTTTAGTTTCACTTTTAGGTAAGGAACACGCTAAATTGTTCGATGTGTTAAAATGACGAAGTAGTTAAAAGCAACGGAACTAATTATGTGACCCCTGAGGGGTGGGGCCTTGCTCTTACTTAGGGCTCTCTTCGTTTTTGATTCTGAAAAACTCTGCTTCCTGGCATCCAGGAGTTAGAGATTGCTCCCTTCATCTTCTTTATCAAAACTAATTTTTGACGTCACTTAAATGGGAATACTCACTTTTTTGTTTTGTATCTGTGTTGCTCTAACTACCAAAAAGGAGTGTAGGATGTTCTTGAGTGTACTATCCTGCAAGTTACAGTCATTTTGGCCATTCTGGCAGGTTGCAAAACACTAATAAATATGCTCTTTTTTACTACTTATATTCCCATTAAAACTGATGTAAAGCGTATAAAGGTTTGTTGTTCTAAATAGTCTCTTCTAAAAGTTTCTGGGTCGAAATAGCTTGCTGATGTTTCTGAAGAGCATTTTCAGCTTCAGCTATCACAGCAGCAAGGAAAGCTTTCTAGATCAGCTCCGAAGTCTGAAATGCTAGCCAGAAATGGAGGTCTGAATTTTGGGTGGTTATAGTCATGTATGAACTGTTCTGTAGAAGGTATTTGCTGAGGATGCTGCTGGATTGTCCCCCAGGGTGGCTTTACTTTTATTGAATTGTATGAATTTGCCAGGGCATGGTTAAAAATTAATACTGTATTTTTTAGCTTAATGAAGTATTTATGGACTCAAGTATTGTGCGTGTTTGTGTTAAAAACTTACTGAAACTGATATGGAAACATTTAAAAATGATGTTTTAGGGTTTTGCTATGCAAAATGTAGCCTCGAGGACCGCCAAATCAGCATCACCTGGATGCTTGTTAGAAATACGCATTCACAGAGGACTTGGTGCATTTGGCCAAATACATATATATTCACGCTTTTCTGTGGGAGGGCTATCTTTTCAGGCTCTTTTCTTTAAAGACTCACTATTTCCTTTTCTGTGCCTTTAAGGCTCCTGGATGCCATTCTGTCTTTTCACAGCAGGTGCAAAACTATTTTTCAGGATATTTTAAGGAGAATATCATTTAGGCTGTAAGAAGCCTTTCAAAAAATATTTTTATGCCAATCAGATACTAGGATAAAGTGTCAAATCCAAATAAATCACAACTGACAGCTTTTGTTGTTGCTTTACAACCAAAAATTGGTACCTGCCACCAACATGTGTGAATCGGGTAACAATTGCAACATGAAAAATTGATGTCTAAGACTGGGTACTGCTAATTTAGTTTACAAGTTCAAATCCTTAACTTTATACATAGTACTTGAATTTCTGAAACAGCATAGTGGTTTGGTATCACCTCATTAGTATACTACTGTGGTTCTCAGAGTTTGGTCCCTGGATCAACAATATACTTGTCAACTTGTAAAAGATGCACATTCTTGGATCCTACCCCAGACACACTGAATCAAACATTAGCTTTGGGGACCAGTGATCTGCCTTTAACAAGCCCCCTGGTGATCCCGATGGCACACTGACATTTGGTAACTCCTGGACTTGTGGTTCTGGTGTGTACATTTGTAGTAAGTTTTCCATCACCAGTTTGAATGCAGTTCCACCCAATCAAGTTTGAAAATGTGTGTGTTGGAAACGGAACACTAAAATAATGAAACCCAATTTTTATGCCTAGAACTAAATGTACCTACGACCAAGCCTGTGAATCCTACAGAAATCATGTAATTTACAGTTGATGTAGTTCAGAGTTATTGTTCACTGTGTGTGTTTGCAGGAATATTTATAAACTTTGTATAACCTCAGACTTTTTACAAAAGTACATTTTTTTAAGTATGCAAACTTCAAGGTGAAAATAAAACTTGTTTGTCTGATAGTTGATTAGTGTAGCATTTATACTGGCATTTAGTGAGCTTTACTCTTGATTTTTACAGTTAACACTGGAAGCTATCTTGGTTGGACTGACTCACCTTTTGATTGGATTAACTCTTTTAGCATGCCTGGCCACAGATTGAAAGCTTCCTCATTCATCCTTCTCCAAGGTTGGGGTGATGAAAGTAAAAACTTCTAATCAATCCTATAAGCAATAGAATGGTTTATCCTAAGGGAGCACCAGAGAAAGAATGACTTAATTCTGCTTTTTAGTGAAAATCTGTGGTCCCCTAGAGGTAAGCTAACAGTACAAAAGGATAGGTCAGGAGCACTCTGATCCCTTCCATGTTCTATAGCCCATGACAAATGTTTAGATAAAGGAATTAGGACTGAGCATGAAATACTGGGCTTGGAGTTTAGAGCTGGGGCTTACATATGCCACATGAAACCTGGTTAAAGCACTTTATTGATTACAATATCAATTCACAGCCAACATTATTTCACAGAGCTACTATACAAATAAATGAATCAATCAGTGTGCAAGGAAGATTCAAGAATACTGTTAAATCATGGGACAAATCCATCTTATGTTTGGTTTGAAGTCCAGTACGTTCACCTTTCCCATAATCACACTACTGATGTTCCCAGTAAGTTGGACACAAGTGTGTACGAACCACTGCAGGCGAAGAAAAACATTTTAACCAGCTTAAAAAAACCCACTTAGATGTGGATTCCTTTGAGTAAGAATATGCAAATGCAGTGTTTAGATGATGCTTTGTAAAGAACACAATAGAATAGAGCACCACTGTAACAAAGAAAAGTCTTGAAATATCAAGTATATCTGAAGTTCTATTAATTAAGAAGTAAATACTGTCTGATGTAAAGTTTTTGTTGGGCACATTGAACACCAGTTAGATCAACTGGTTTTTTCATAATGCTGCATTCTCATATAACTTATAGGATCAGTAATTGGACTTAAGAAAAAAGACTTAGGATATTTCATCAACATGCAAACAAATTTTCTAAATACAAGGTGTACCATCAATCTGTGATTAATAAATTACTTTTTTAAAACTGCTAACTTAAGACATTCAAATACAAACCGTTTTCGTGAGTACCTATGGTAACCAATATTTTAAAATACAGCACTAAATTTAGGGCAACTCAAAATGAACAAGAGGAAAACTAGTAAATAAAAAGTACTTTACATTACTTAATTTAAAATGTCAATTTTGTTCATTGTGCTATTCTTCCTTACAAGAAAGATAGTCCAGCTGTGGGTCTTTTAAAAATTCAAACAGGAGAGGAGAAAGTTTAAAATTTTGCTTTCCACAATGGCAAAAAAGGGAACTAGAAGCTGAACATAGAAATTAAATTTCTTTTTAAATGCTTTAATCCTGACTCACACCCTAAAATTTCTAGAAAGAAAATCTTCATTATTAAAATAATGATTGGCTTTTGGGGGAGATTGTTCAGTCAGTTTCCATAAGTTCAGATACATCAACAAATAAGCCACAATTACTCAATTTTGTTAAACAGTTTTAAATGTGAGACATTCACCAATGTTCAAAGTATAAACTTCTCTGAAGGTTCTCACTTTTAAAATGGACAATCTTAATTTATTATTAAATCTAAGTGTTTAAAAGGTCAGTTATATAATATTGCACAGTATTTTTTAACAATAATCGAAATTTTATCACCTGGAAAAGTGAAGGTCTATTTCTCTTTTAATAGATTAAAATGGTTTACCCCATTGTTCCAGTAGCCCCTGCATCCATCATGTCTAGGAGACAAGCACTGTTATTCATCGGTTTAGCTGAATCTAAATCAAAACAAGCAGCAACTGCTAGCTAGTATCCCTTGTAGTTGAAATATTAAGCCCAAATCTTTGCCTCTGTGGAGATGGAACTCGTGGTGTGTGTAACCTTGGAATCACAGGTATAGAAATAAGGGCTAGGGAGGGACCTAGCTCATGGCAGCAAGAAGTGCTTTTTGAGCAGGTTTTGGGATGACTTGGTGAACCACAGGGCACTTTACTATTAAGTTGTTTTAGAAAAGAATACATATCTTTAAAATATTCTTGTCAGATCTTCAGAAAACGAAGTTCATAAGTAAAATCTGTTTCTTACAAGGTAAAAAGAAAAATTGATAGGTCTCAGATAACTGCAGTATTCTTGATAATACAAATTCCTTAAAACTACATTTGGCCATATTTTTTAAGTCTTCTAAAACCAAGGTTCAAACTATACAGTGTTTCTATGTGTTATGTACTATTCTTTTTGATTTCAGGAAGTCTCATGAACAACAGAATTAGACAATCAGCTTAACTCAAACTGCAATTAAAAATAGCAAGAGAAACTCATATTACTAGAAAGCAAAGGTTTAACTAGTAAGTTAATGTGGTAATGAGGTCACATTTGGTCATATATATAACTAGCCACAATCTTGGGTAGGTTTCAGTTGCCTAACACATAGTTAATTACAGGAATTGCTTTTAACCTATGCATAGAAACTAATAACATTAAAATAAATCATTTTTATCAGCAAGTTTAAGATCATAGAATTATAGTCTGGGTGCCTCTCTGACTACAGTTTTTTGTTCCTAGAATAACTCAGAGTAGAGGGGAATACTCTATTTTGCATGTGGCAGAAGTGCTTTCTTGATTAGGATTTAGGAATGAATTGCTGAACTACATGGCAGACCCTCACCCCCTTTTGGAAGTGAGTACATTCCTTTAAAATATTTTTGCCTGATCTTAAAGAGCTGCTCTATACAAAGTAATATAAATAGTCCACAAACCTTAATAGGATAAAGTTCATAGAAATCTGTATAAATACATTCGTGCCTCCCATCTACAAGTTACTTTGGCCCCATATTGTCATTTTCCTTTATTCATTTTACTCTCTTTTTAATATCAACAATGTTAAAACCAACTTCATTATAGTTGGTATACTTATTAGCACATTCACAACATAATGAAAACTGACACGTAAAATTTGGAACTATTCAGGATTACAGGTGACCTATCTCAACAGTAACTGACATACTTTAACAAAATACAATGCACCGTCAAGCAAGACTAACAGTCTTCCATTGTCAATCATTTAGATTTATTTGTAAGAGGAAAATCAAAGGGGGAAAGTATCTGTTTAAATCTAGGAGGGCCCATTCTAGTAATAGACAACACATTATTATACCATTGACAAGCAGAGGAATGAATCGCTTAGTATTTTCCTCTGGCTCCTTTAGAATTGCTCTTTGATTTTTTCTTTTGGCTTTAAAATGATTTCACTCTTTGAACCACAGTTGCACCACTAAGAAACCAGTTATTTTGTTTTCAAGGAAGAAAAGTAGTCAGAAGAGCAGAGCTGAAATGTTTCCTTCTTAAAACCTGAAGGCACAGACAGTTTACATCAAGTCAGACTTTAGGTGAACATAAATTCATACAGCCACCTTGTCACAACTATGCACAGGTCTAATGACTGGCTAGACTTTACACTTTGAAAAAAGGCATCCTTCGCGTTTCCTTAGCTCTAGACACATACTGATGGAGAGCACTGGGAAAAGTGCTCCAGATGCTAGGAGGGTGCAGACATTCATCGATGTTCTGGAATAATGAGTAGACTACAAACTCAATTCTTGAATATGAAATCAATAGTGAAGCCCAGGTATTTGGAGGATTACTCAAAGTGTCTTTTGATCATGATCTTTCTAAAATGCCAAGAACCACTTATATGTGATTACTGCTCTCTACCTATTCATAAAGTTTCTTTTGTGTGTCTGAAGTTTCATAGGGAAATCTCTATTCCCTAGCCTTCAGATTATCTTCCCCTCAAAGGGCTGAAAATGAGCACTCACTTAAATGGATAGGATGGCAAAAGATGCACCAGAAACGAAGGACATTGAAGAGGAGTCCATCCTCTCAGGTACCTACCCTGTCAGCAATTCTTAAAACTTGGGGCAACCAGGAGGTCAGAATTCAAGGAGACTTTCTTCAAATACAAGGACATGCACATAAGGGACTACTCTATTACTGTGCCTGGTTCCTCCATTAAAAAACAAAAATGTGACATTTCTGACGTATACAAAGTTAAAAATGCACTTCTTAAAAAGCAAACAAACATGATAGGTTGCTATAATGTATACACTTGGTTCTACACAAGGAAACAAACTGAGTAAAAGCAAAATTTGATCACGGTTAAACTAGCTCAACTCAATACACTGGTCCTTTTGATTCAGCAAGCACCTTTGCCTTGTTTTTTTCTGTTTTGTATTTTACTGAAAGCTGCTTTTTGTATATAATCTCAATAGAAAAATCTTCGACTGCAAATATAAGGTAGAATTTTTTTCACAGCTCTAGGCTGCAGCACTGATTTTTCCAGGTATCCTCAGGGAATGGAAACATTGTATGCACTGTTAATTCCAGATTCTAAGAAAACTGTCCCAGGAGCCTGTTGCCACAGCCATGCCATCATCAGTCACACCCAAACAGCTGACACGGTTGTCGTGCCCAGCAAGAACACCTGAAAAACAGAGTTCAGGAAAGAGTTAGCGATGGCAAGTTGTAGAATTAAACAGAGGTCTGAGGAGAAGACCTAGGAGGTTACTGCTTCGAGGTGAACAAGTTTTTCTGAGTCTGGAGACCGAGCGCAGGGGAAAGCTGGACACGTAAGTAGAATACAATTCTTTGTGCTCCAGGAATTTTTGAGGTTTGTCAAATCCTGTTACTCACTTTTGAAAAATTATTTCAGTTATGCTTTCTTATATCTAGGACAACAGATAAACATTATCACTGTACTTAAGTTTATGGTACTCCAAATGTTGCCACTGAGCTATGCTATTTTCAATTTTTTTTTCTTTTTTTTAAATTTAATTATTTTTCAATTACAGTATTCTGTCTTTTACTCCCATCCCAGCCCACCCCTCTATTTTCAAAAAATTTTGAATGAAGACGACAACCCTTTTCCACAAGAACAACAAAACATAATGAATTTGCCTCATTATCACCACTTCCAGAAATACCAACACCATTCATTTGCTTTATTTGGTTAACTACCAAACACTACAATGTTTTGGTTATAGCTTTCTGAAGCCTTTGAACTCATCTAGTTTTAGACGCCTTTGTTTTTTAAAGTATATCTTATTGATATGCTGTTACAGTCGTCCCTGTTTACCCCCTTCACCTCCCTCCGCCTGGTACCTCCCTTTCCTCCAGCAATCTTCCCTCTTAGTTCATGTCCATGGGTCGGGCATGTAAGTTCTTTGGCTTCTCCATTTCCTATACTGTTCTTAACCTCCCCCTGTCTGTTCTGTACATACCAATTATGCTTCTTATTCCCCGTACCTTTTGCCCTTCTCTCCTCCTCCCTCTCCCCGTTGATATCCCACCAAAAGACCTCCATATCTATAATTCTGTTCCTGTTCTGGTTGCTTGCTTAGCTTGTTTTTTAGACTCAGTTAATAGTTGTGAACTTGTTGGGTTTTTAATATTCATAGTTTTGTTCATGGAAAACTATGGTAACAGAGGAGAAAGGACAGCAATTAAATCACACCCCAGCCTCCCTAGTACTACAGGGTACCAGTTGCCAGACTAAAAGGCCCACTGAATACCTGGCTCAGAGGATGAAAATGGACCCACTCCGAGACTCACCAAAACTAGCAGAAAGGTTGAAGATTAGGTGAGAAGTACATTGAAACTAAGAATAAGCCAAAAAATTAATGTAAGCCTAGAGAATATTAAAAAGATGCATAGCAAAAGCACTCATAGTATATAACTCACGGCTCAGCACTAAGTATTGTGTAAAAAAAGTCACAATTATGTAAACTCTGGTATCTAAGCATAATTCACAAAATGGGAAAAACTGGAAGCCAGGAAGCATGTGGCTGGCTGGAACGTGGGGAGGGAGGGGGAATGATAGGGCCAAACCCTCAACAGTTCATGCCTAAGAGTCAAGTTCGTTGAGCTACTTTTGCAAGCAGAAAACAGGAATTGCTGTCAGGACTACTGTGGTTTGGTAACATGCTATGTAGAACTTTTTGATTCCTTGAATATAACTTTAATTCTGTTTCTTTTTTTCTCTTTTCTTTTCTTTTTTTTTTTAGAGAGAGGGGAAGGGAAGGAGAAAGAGAGGGAGAGAAACATCAGTGTGTGGTTGCTTCTCACATGGCCCCCAATGGGGACCTGGCCCACAACCCAGGCATGTGCCCTGACTGGGAATTGAACCTCGACCCTTTGGTTCACAGCCCACACTCAATCCACTGAGCTACACCAGCCAGGGCTTAACTTTAATTCTAAAAAAGAAAAAAATTAAATCACCCTATGTAACTTGTGACAGTCCCCAGTGACTTGATGTGTATACTAACACTTTGGAAGCTGCAGGACAGAAACTCAGAGTGTGGGGCGAAGGGAGGACAGCGGTTTTGTCCCAGACATGATCTGTTCCAGGAGGGAGATGGTCCATAGCACTTAGAATGTCTCCTGTCAAGGTTATAAGAAGACTAATTTTGAAAAGAGCATACTGAGATTAAACCTTTGTCTGAGGTATCATTGGCAAATATGTTTTCCCATACAGTTGGTTGTCTTTTTAATTTAATACTGTTTTCTTTAGCCATGCAGAAGCTTTTTATTTTGATAAGATCCCATTTGTTTATTCTTTCCTTTATATTCCTTGCTCTAGGGCACATATCTGTAAAAATGTTGCTGCGTGGAATATCTGAGATTTTCTTGCCAATGTTCTCCTCTAGGACTTTAATGGTGTCATGGCTTATATTTAAGTCTTTTATCCACCTTGAATTTATTTTGGTGTATGGTGTAAGTTGGTGCTCAAGTTTCATTTTTTTGCACGTAGCTGTCCAGTTCTCCCAACACCATTTGCTGAAGAGGCTATCTTTACTCCATTTTATGTTACTGCCCCCTTTGTCGAATATTAGTTGACTGTAGAGGGTTGGGTTGATTTCTGGGCTCTCTGTTCTGTTCGATTGGTCTATGTGCCTGTTTTTATGCCAGTACCAGGCTGTTTTGATTACAGTGGCTTTGTAATACAGTTTGATATCAGGTATTGTGATCCCTCCTACTTTGTTCTTCTTTCTCAAAAGAGCAGCTGCTATTCGGGCTCGTTTATGATTCCATATAAATTTTTGAAGTGTTTGTTCTATGTCTGTGAAATACGACATTGGTACTTTAATAGGTATAGCATTGAATCTGTATATTGCAAAGAACTTACACGACTCCACTCTAGGAAGACATCGAACCCAATTAAAAAATGGGAAAAGGACTTGAACAAACACTTCTCCAAGGAGGACATACAGAACATTCAGAGACACATGAAGAGATGCTCAATATCATTAGCTATCAGAGAGATGCAAATTAAAACCACAATGAGATACCACTTTACTCCAGTCAGGATGGCTATAATAGACAAAGCAACAAACAACAAATGTTGGAGAGGGTGTGGGGAAAAGGGGACCTTAGTTCACTGTTGGTGGGATTGTAGACTGGTACAACCATTATGGAAAACAGTATGGAATTTTCTCAGAAAAATAAAAATTGACCTGCCTTTTGACCCAGCAATTCCACTGCTAGGATTATACCCCAAGAATCCTAAAACATCAATTTCAAAGAACCTATGCACCACAATGTTCATAGCAGCACAATTTACAATAGCCAAGAGTTGGAAGCAACCTAGGTGCCCATCAGTAAATGAATGGATCCAAAAATTGTGGTACATATACACCATGGAATTTTATGCAGCAGAGAGAAAGAAGGAGCTACTACCTTTTGCAACAACATGGATGGAACTGGAAAGCATTATGCTGAGTGAAATAGGCCAGGCATTGAAGGACAAATACCATATGATCTCACCTTTGACAGGAAGCTAAAGAATAAAACAAATAAGCAAATAGAATAAAAACAAAGACGCTGAAATAGAGAACAAGTGGGCAGCGACCAGAGGGGAGAGGGAAGGGAACTTAAGGGGAAAAAGGGGGAGGGATTTTGAGGAACAAGTATGAATGACACAGAGATGAGGACTTGGGGGGGGGGGGGAATGGGAGGGAGGGGGGAGACCGGGCGGGGGGGGGGAAGAGGGAAAAAAAAATGTACTTGAAAAGTAACCAAATAAAATTATTAATAAAAAATAAAAAATAAAAAAAAATAAAAAAAATAAAAGCCAAGCTGATCAAATATAAGATCTTTTACTTTAAAAAGTAAATGTGAAATATATAGAATTTTAAATAAAACTCCCATTCAAGCTGAAAAAAAAAAAAAAAAGAGCATACTGAGTTATATTCAGTTCTTTTTTATATCAAAACTTATTAAACAAAAAAAATGCACGTTCACACTTTGCACAATCCCTCTCTCTCACTTACACACCCTCCCCCCGCCCCCAGTGCCTTTCCCCGACCCCTTCTTTCCCCACGGTGCACACACGCGTGTGCTCTCTCTGTCTCTCTCACTCACGTACGTATCTTTATCCCTCTTCTTTCCTCCAGGTGTGCACCTCTCCTCTCTTTCTCCTAAGCTCCAAAGGCCCTTCTGTTGCCTCTGTAACTTACTTCCTGCGCCCTCAAAGCCCAGCTGGCTCACTTTTTCTACCTCTGACTTCTTGAATAAACTTTCACTTGTATTGGAAAAACAGAAGTTTATGACAGAACTAGATGTTAACTGTTCAGAAAACAGAAATGTAACCATGGTGTATGGACTGTAACTCAACTCAAAGGGCAACAGTGGCCATGCCTAGGAACCGCTGGGCTGCCACTCCCCACACCCAGGGTGCCCGGGAGCCTCAAACAACAGATGGGAACCTCTTCATGTTCCCAGACAAAACCAACACATAGTGTGGACTTAGGAACTAACCTGCACGATCTCCTTTCAGTGTGTCCCACACGTTACAATTAAAGTCATCGTAACCAGCTAACAGGAGGCGCCCACTTTTTGAGAAGGCTACGGAGGTGATCCCACAGATGATGTTGTCATGAGAATACATTAACAGCTCCTGGTCTGCACGCAGGTCGAAGAGACGGCAAGTGGCATCATCAGAGCCGGTGGCAAAGGCATATCCGCTTGGAAAAAACTAGAAAGGAAAGCAACAAGCATTTATTCCATAGAATTGTACAGAAAATCACATGAGACAGTGTAATAGTACACCAGGGAAAAACAGATCCAGATCCAAATTCCAACTTGGCCTGTGACCCAGTGAATGCTGTGGAGCACTGAGGCCTCTCAGACACTTTGGGCCTTAGTTCCAGGTTTAGAGTGCTGGTTGGGATGGAATGAAATAACTGCCAAGTAAGTACATAGCCTGTTGGTTAGCACAGAGCAAGTATTTAGTAAATATTGGCTCTGCTCCTCCACCTGTCTTATTGAAATACTTAAATATAAATGTTACTATTGATGGAATTCAAATTCTGTAAATATGTGTGCTCTTAAATGTTTCAAAATCCCATTATGAGAAATAAATGGAAGATTTTACGAAAGAGGACACGAATCATTCTAGCTATGCAAGGTTATAAAGTTAAGCTAGTAGTTAACAAAACTCTGCATTATTTATGAATCCCTTTTCACAGATACTGGTGCTACTCAATGTTGACCCTTTTATAAAGAGGAAACAACTTTTTGTCGTATATTTAATGGCTATCTTCATTACTTTTGTGAAATAGTTGTTCATATCCTTTGCTCAGTTTTTACTGTGTTGTTAGTACTTCATTTGTTGGAGTGAAATAAAGAACATAAATTTGTCTTAAATATTACTTTATTTATCATTTGCCTTCTAATATTGTTTACTTTTTTAAAAACAAAGTAATTTTTAATTTTTTAAAATTTTATTTATTTATCTTTAGAGGGGAAGGGAAGGAGAGAGGGAGAGAAGTATCAATGTATGGTTGCTTCTCGTCCGTCCCCTGCTGGGAACTGGCCCCTGCTGGGAACTGGCCCCTGCTGGGAACTGGTCTGCAACCCAGGCATGTGCCCTGACGGGGAATCGAACTGCGATCTTTTGGTTCGTAGACCCATGCTCAATCCACTGAGCTACACCAGCCAGGGCAATTTTTAATTTTTATGTAGTCAAATTTGGTTACCTTTCCCTTTGAGATTTAATTTTTTATAAACAGAGTCAGTCCTTCCCAGAATGTCATCAGATGTTCAACTGTATTTTCTTCTAGTTCCCTCTTTAATAATTTCATTTTTCACATCTTAATTTCTACCCATCTGGTATTTATTTGATATATAGCATTCAGTATAAGGATCTAATTTAATTTTCTTAATCAGTTGTCCTAGCTGTGAAATAATTTTTCTACTCATTTTGTTGCGACATCTATAATTCTCTGAACTCTCGTATACTCAAACAGTTAATTTTGAGTTTTCTGTCCCTGTTTTGGTACCTGTATCGCACTTAAAAAAATCATTGTAACCTGACAGTAAATTTTATTTTCTGGCATGGCAACACATTTTATTCTGCTTCAAATTAACCTGTCATCTCCTTTCTTCCTGCTTGAATTTCAGATATTTGATGAAGAAGTCTCTTTTCTCCATATTCCTCAGACTCCTCTCAAAAAAATTTACTTGTGTCTTGATTAAAATTTGTATTAAACCTAAAAATTAGTTTGAGGGATAAATGATTTTTTTTTTGAAATATTCACTCTTCCTATTGAGGAACATAATTTTTAAAAAATGTTTACCATTAAAGTTTTATAAATTGTCTTCATTTAGATTCTGCATAGTTCTTGCTAAACTTATTCCTTGTCTATTTTATAATTTTTGTTGCTGTTCTCAATAGGATTTTCTTCCTTTTTTTCTTCTACCTGGCTATTACTATATAACAAAGTTACTGATTTTATAATACTTTTTGTAATCCAGAAAACACAATGAACTCTTTTTTGGGGTATCTAGATAGCTAAACACATCACATGCAAATAATGATTCTTTTTTCTACTTTCTAAATTCAACTCTTATTAACTCAGCTTTGGGCCTAAACTATAAAAGGCAGAAATCATCACACTATGAAAAAGCAAGACTGCCCTGACTGGTGTGGCTCAGTTGGTTGAGCATCGTCCCACAAAGCAATGGGTACCTGGTTCAATTCCCAGGCAGGGCACATGCCTGGGTTATGGGTCAGGTCCCTTGGTTGGGGACATGCAAGAGGCAGCCAATTGATGTTTCTCTCATACATCAATGATCCTGTCCCTTTTTTTCTCCCTCCCTTCCCCTCTGTCTGAAAATAAATAAAATCTTTTATTTAAGAAGTAAAAGAAAGGAAAAAGATATGCCTGGCTAACACTAATCAAAAGAAAATGGGGGTATTTGTATTAATATCAAACAAAGATTTCAGAGTAAACATTACCAGGGATAAGGAGGGATATTTCCTTATAAAGGAACCAATTCATTAATAAGAATTCTAAAGGTTTATAGATTGAAATACATGAAGCAAAAAGCCAGTAGATTGCAAGGAAAATGGACAAATGCACAATTGGAGATTTCAACACCCCTCTTTCAATAATGGACAGAAAAGACAGACAGTAATCAGTAAGGATACAGAAGACATGAATAACAATTTCAACCATCTTGACCAAGCTGATGTCTGTGGAACTCTCCACCCAGTAACAGGAATTCGAATTCTTCCCAAGTGCATATAAACACAGTACGTAAAAATCTGTGGGATGTAGCTAACAGCAATGCTTAGAAAGAAATCCATAACTTTTAAGTTCCGAACTTAGAGGAAACAAAGCTCCAAATCAAAGGTGTCACCTTCTACCTTAAGAAGCTAGATGAAGGGGTGGGGGAGGAAACTAGGAAAAGGAAAACAAATGAGACCCAAGGGAGCAGCAGAAAAGAAAAAATAAAGATCAGAGTGAAAATCAATGAAAACAAAATAGAGAATATCACTGAAAACAAAAGATGGTTTTCTGAGTAGATAAAACCAATAACCCTCTAGCCATATGTGTTAGTCTGCTAGGGCTGCCGTAATAAAGAACCACAATTTCGGTGGCGGCGTAGCAACATTCATTGTCATCTCACAGTTCTGGAGGCTGGAAGTCTGAGATCCAGGGGTCTGAGGGTGGCAAGGGAGGGATCTGTTCGGCCTCTCCTTGCCTTGTAGCTGTCTTCAAGCTGCGTCTGTTCGCAAGGTTTTCCCTTTCTGCCTGCTGTCTCTAAATGTCCCCTTTTTCCTAAGGATACTGGTCATATTGTATTAGGGCCCCTAATCCAGTGCATCTCAGCTAATCATACTGGCACAACCCTATTTTCAAATAATGTCACATCCTGAGGTACTAGAGGTTAGGACTGCAATCTAAATTTTTGGAGGCATACAATTCAATTCACAACACCGGGAAAAAACTCAGGCAAATTACCAATATTACGAAGAAGATATCCTATGGATGGAACAGACATTGGGCGGATGACACGGGCGTATTGTGAACAACTTGAACACACCTGTGGACAGCCACCTTGTTTGCTCAAGATGGTCTATCCCTCCACATCTGGAAACAGAGCTTATTGTTCATCTGCAAATAAAGACCTTGGTCTATGGAGAAAACCTTTCTGGGTTGTTTTTTCAATCAACCCTTACTCTTTGGAAATTCAGTGTTGTAAGAACATTATTTTTAAGAATCCTTGCAGGCAATTTGTTGTGAAAATCATGCTATAGAATTCGGCACTGTACATGCACAATAAATTCCCCTTAGAAATGCTATGCACTTACACTGACAGCATTAATGTCTGACACATGCCCAGAGAAAGACTGCCTGCACATTCCATCCCGAATATCCCATAACTTGGAGGAGGCATCGCACGCGCCAGAAACAAAGGTCCTCATGTCAGGGCTCAGAGAGAGACTCATCACGTCTCCAGAATGGCCAGTGAACGTGGTGGTCTGCTGGGCAGTTTCGATGTCCCACAAAGCACTGTAATTAGAAATGAATAAACATGACTCTCACATCTTCTTACATCAGTTCCTTCTACCACCCTCACCCCCAAAATCAGTGTTCTGGAATAGACTTACCAATTTGTATCTCCTGAACTTGTAACAATTTGGCTGTCGTCTAAGAAACGGCAGCAGGACAAGTAGCCTACAGCAGAGAGGAACATTTTAGGTTATCGTTGATTAAATAACTCAAATAGCATATTCTTAAAAATACCTGGGCAACAGTGTTTGTTACTACAATCTAGCGTCCTACTTTTCATTACTTCAACTCTATGCTGTCTGAAATGAAATTTTATCCACTAACTCCTTTGTAGGTATTTACTGTGACAGTGACATTATGATGGTCCCTCTGAAAGTTACAACTTGAGTAAAACACAGTCCCTCCTGCTTGCGAGTTAGCTGAAGAGAGACATACTCTTCTCAAATATCTACAATCTATGGTAGATGGGATTAAGTACCTTGCAGACTGATTAGAAGTATTGTGAGAAACTAGGACAACCACCCCAGTGAAGGCTTCATGAAAACGGTGCCATTTGGATGCTCAGAATTCACCAGTATTTCAAAATACAGGAATGGTAGGAAAATGCCATTGTAGGGATTTTGTAAAAAGCATGGTCAAATATTATCGCAGCCCTGGCTGGTATAGCTCAGTGGATTGAGCGCGGGCCTGTGAACCAAAAGATCTCGGTTCGATTCCTAGTCAGGGCACACGCCTGGGTTGCAGGCCAGCTCCTAGCAGGGGCCAGTCCCCAGCAGGGGACACATGAGAGGCAACCATACATTGATATTTCTCTCCCTCTCTCTTTCCCTTCCCTTCTAAAGATAAATAAATAAAAAATTTTAAAAATATATATTATTGCAAAGAATTCGGAGAGGCAAAATCCCAAGGACTGGCAAAAAACTTCTAGTTAAGACAGCTAACCAAAAGCTATACCGCTGAGCTATGTGTGGTGTGCACTCTGGCAGATAAAGCAATGTGCTCTCACAGTGAAAAATACTTCGTAAGTGTTATCTTAATATATACCTTCAAAAAGATATATATACTTTCAATTATGTACTTAAGTATAGATACCAAAATCCCATAATTGTTAAATGGTTGCAGAGAATACAGAAAACATTTGCTTTCTTTTTGTATTTTTCATTATCGTTTGAATTTTCATAATGAATTTATCATCTTTACAGAACTAGTACTTTTTTCAGGAAAACTAGCACCACATTCAGTGGCACTCACCTATATGACCGGGGAGCTCTCGGCTCACTCGCACATTCCCCTCCCTGGTCTTTAAGTTATAGATAGAGCAGATGTTGTCCAGGCCTCCACAGGCCACGAAATTACCCGAGGGGGCGTAAGCGCAGGTCATCACCCAGGAGGACCTCAAAGGAATAGCGTGCATCTGCAGGACAAGCAGATGCACAAACACTGTTACTAAGTAAGACAGGCACTCAGCTGCCTCACCTGTTTACAATGAGGCAAATATATACCAACAATTAAATACATCCAAAAATTAAGGCAAAATAGATAGAGAATGCAATGAATTGAGAAAGGAAACAATGAAAAATAAAATACTAATGCACACTGAAATGCATATTATTTTTTCTCTATTATAAATAATTTAAACCCTGGCTGGTGTAGCTCAGAGGATTGAGCACGGGCCTGCGAACCACACGATAAATAATTTAACTGCTCTTTTCAGGAATTATTCTTTTAAGAGAGAAAACGGGAACAAGGATTTTCCAAGCTATACAACAATTTTGAATATTAAGTGTAAAATGTTAAAGATAAAAAAATGTAATAAAATTCTTTGTTTTTGCAGTAGTGTGCAAAAGAGGGGCTTTCCTCCAACATATCATTAAGTGATATAAGTATCCGAGTCAATTACAATGGTTCTCCCATGGAGAGATGGTTCTTCTAGTAACAGGGCACTTACTCTGGGCTCAAATGTAAACAATGGAAACAGTTTGCACTGATCTACTCATACCTGTCTGTGCCTGCTGCCTTCTTGCCCAACACCAGTCATTTGCAAGTCAGGCAGCAAAATTTAATGTGTCCGGGACTAGCGACGCTAACTGGTCCATACAGAGAATCAATGCATTGTGTGATTACCACTGTGCTCTCACTTAACCTAAAATAATATTTTTAATACACAATTTGGTTGTTGTGGGAAGATACTATTGAAAGACACATGCTCAATGCCAATTAATATAGAAAACTGTTAGAATGCAAATCTGTCTTGGCCACCTTTAAGTTCTCTACCAGGCTGAAGATACTGTTTACTTCACAAAATGATGCTTTTTAAACTTTAATGAAAAACGGTGATATAAGTGTACACAGAATCTGAAGGTATTTGACCTGGGAACGTTTTCCTGAAGTTTTTCCACTACCACTCAACACCTACATGCCAAGGATGCCATCCAGGGGACAGACTAGGGTGGCCCACTGGCTTCTACCAGCAAGAGATCTAAGCAAGTTGCAATCTGCCTCCAATTCACCACCTCTTTTGAGCTGTCTGGAAACAAATCAACACCCAGAGTGGACGAAGAAAAGCTTCCCGCTAGCATTCTGGCTTACCCACAGATCGAATCAAAATCTCAGGGTCACTGTCACCTTGGGAAATGGGAATTTGTTTAAGAAATCATTTGTATATAACACTGATGCACAGTCTTTTCTAATATTCAAATATAAAATGTGAGAGTCTAGTAAAACATATTGAACACTATTTCTACAGTTGTTCTTGGGAATTTAAAAAAGTGGCTAAATATTAAAACCAACAGTAAGCCTCAAAAAGGATCTAGATTAAAATGAATGGAACACATTTATCTTAGAAGGAAATTACAACTGGAAATAATAGAATAAAGGAAAGAACTGATAAAAAACCTTTTCAAACAATACGTTGCTTCAGAGAATGATCAAGAAATTCTACCTTATTTGTTGTATAGCTATCCCAAATAATTAATTTTCCATCTTGAGAAGCACTGACCAGTAGCCTAGAAGAATGAATAAAAATAATTCAACACTTAGAGGGAAAAAGTAGTTTGAATTAGTTATACATGGCATTAATGTAGAACAGTTCCAAAAAATACATACAATTTTTCAAATTAAAAACTTGATACCAGAAAATAATCTTCCCAACTCGAAAAGAAATTTATTCTGCATGCCAAAATTTTCAACATAACATAAAATTTAGCAAAATTCAGACACTGTGCTAACAATGTCTCTGTTATGATTCATCAGTGTTTTGGTGACAGCAGTCTAGGTTCTTGTTCAAGATCCTGGTAGGCATGGGCTGACTGGTCTGTATTCACTGATTTAAATTTATTGACAACAGAGTACATGGAAACTGAACAACCATATTTCACTCAACCAAACATATCCATTGATAGCCTGTGAATGTAGTGTTATGGGTACAACACAGAAAATACAGCCTACTTTTGAGGCTGTACCATCTATCTGGTAGGTAAGATATTTACATGTGTTTATAACTCAGAGGAGTGGCGTGAAATTAATGCCAAAAGAAAGTACAAGGGAAAAATATAACTGCTATTTGAATTAAGCAAGTAGTTTCTCAAAAGAGACTGCCACCGTGAAAAATGCAACCTGGAGAGCTAAAGATAGATATGTACTCCAATCCTTTTTGTGAATTTAGGTAATAATTAGAGTAATACACAGTAACTTGTAAATAGCAATATTCAGTAATACATGCTTATTTGCTGAAATTTCAGTAGACTGCTTTTGGCATAGTAAAAAGCAAAGTATAATACCCAACTGCAAAAAAAAGAAATCCCAAACAATTAACCTGGATAATTACATAACAGATATTTTTAAGAGATACATTTATTTTCCATAGTAAATATTCCTAAACTTTTAAAGTGTCACTGAATGTTTTTACTGAAAGTGAAGTTTCATATTAGATGCATTTTTCTGCAAACATTTCATAAATGCAGTTTTTAACTAAAAATTATTTAAGGACATGCAGATGATGAATTTTAATGACTATAATTCTGCGGACAGTTTGAAAACGGCAGCACAGACCTTGAGTCGTATCCCCAGTGCATAGCATAGATCTTGGCAAGGTGCCCCCGCAGTGTGCGTCTGGTTCGCATCTGTATCCGACCCACCGTGTCCATGTTTGATGTGATCTTTAGAATGAGACATGAATGATGTTATTCTTTTCCTTAGTCGAGGCTCAGGAAATGAAGTAGAAACTAGTAATAGGCAAGAATAGTAATAGGCAAGAAATCTTGATATAAAACAAACTTAGAGCAATCAAAGGTAATTTAATGTAAATATTGCCCTGGGGTAATTATAGGATCAGTACGTAGTTCGAGAAGAGTATGACTGATTTAAAATGGCACCACTTGCACACCTTCCGGTAGGAATAGCTTCTGTAGACTGTTAACTAAGCAGAACAGACATCTCTCCCAACTTCAGTAAAAGAAGCCCAAATAAAAATCTAACAGCAGATGATCTAAAACATTTATCATTTTAACTGTCTAGAAGAAAGCCAGTTTTATATTTGTCAAGCATATATTTCCTTAATGAAAATTATTAATATTAATTAAACTAACAAAAACTCCCTAAGAACTTATGTAATTAAAAAAGCTCAGAGTATATCATAAAGAATCAAGAAGCTACCTTCAAAGAAACATATAAAAACCCACATATTTTCATTGTATTTATTTTTCATAGACTTCTTTTATAACAGAATTCTATATGCTTTTATAACAGAAGTCTGTATGCTTTTAAAGCACTTTTACAGCATCTGACAAATCACAGCATTTTTAGAGATCTCACTTTTTCAATTAGACACTAATGAAAAACTCTGAATGTCATTTGCATTGGTGTGAAGTTGTATGTTATGAATTAGTAAAGTAAATTGAGGGGAAAAAAAAAACTTTACCTGAACAAGCATTGCATCATTACAAGCTTTCCTAGCATCCTGAAATAAAGAAAGAAGATTATAATGCACTTACACATGGAAGTCACTAGAAATAATTTAAAACAGTATTTTCATTGTAAATATAAATATGCAAACATATTTTATTGAGATAAAGTTCACATAACATAAAATTAACCATTTTAGTCCTCTTTTAAATATACATATATTTTATTGATTATGCTATTACAGTTGTTCCATCTTCCCTCCTTTATTCCCCTCCACCACGCACGCCCCCTCTCAACCTTATTCCCTGCCCCCACCTTTAGTTCACGTCAATGGGTCAAACATACAAGTCCTTTGGCTTCTACATTTCCTATACTATTCTTAACCTCCACCAGTATCTTCTACCCACCATTTATGCTACTTTTTCCCTGTACATTTTCCCCCTCTCTCCTCCTCCCACTCCCCCCCTGATAACCCTCCATGTGGTCTCCATTTCTGTGATTCTTTTCCTGTTCTAGTTGTTGGCTTTGTTTTTGTTTTAGGTGCAGTTGTTAATAATTGTGAGTTTGTTGTCATTTTACTGTTCATATTTTTTATCTTCTTTTTCTGAGATAAGTCCCTTTAACATTTCAAACAATAAGGGCTTGGTAATGATGAACTCCTTGAACTTGACCTTATCTGAGAAGCACATTATCTGTCCTTCCATTCTAAATGATAGCATTGCTGGATAGAGCAATCTTGGATATAGGTTCTTGCCTTTCATGACCTTGAAGACTTCTTTCCAGCCCCTTCTTGCCTGTAAGGTTTTTTTTGAGAAATGAGCTGACAGTCTTATGGGAACTCCTTTGTAGGTAACTGTCTCCTTTTCTCTTGCTGATTTTAAGATTCTCTCCTTATCTTTAATCTTGGCTAATATTATTATGATATGCCTTATGTTCCTCTTTGGGTCCAACTTCTTTGGGACTCTCAGAGCTTCCTGGATTTCCTGGAAATCTATTTCCTTTGCCAGATTGGGGAAGTTCTTTATTATTTGTTCAAATAAGTTTTCCACTTGTTGCTCTTCCTGTTCTCCTTCTGGCACCACTATGATTCAGATGTTGGAACATCTAAAGATGTCCTGGATGTTTCTTAAGCCTCTCCTAATTTTTTTGAATTCTTGTTCTTCATTCTGTTCTGGTTGAATGTCTCTTCCTTCTGGTTCACACTGTTGATCTGAGACTTGGTTTCCTTCCTGTCACTGTTGGTTCCCTGTATATTTTCCTTTATTTCACTTAGCATAGCCTTCTTTTTTTCATCTGATTTGTGAACATATTCAAACAATTCTATGAGCATCCTGATCACTGGTGCTTTGAACTGTGCATCTGATAGGTTGGCTCTCTCTTCATCGCTTACTTGTATTTTTCCTGGAGCTTTGACCTGTTTTTTTTATTTGGGCCATTTTTGGGGGGTCTCAGCATGCCAGTTATGTAGTGAGGGACAGAGCCTTAGGTGTTCACCTGGGCAGGGCAACCACATCTCTGCGTTGTCGTGCTGTATGTGGGGAGGGGTCTGATGGAACGATGCCGCTTGCTCCGCTCTCTGCCGGTTTTCAGTCACTTCCCCTGCTACCCACAATTGGACTCTTCTGGTGCTGATTCCCAGGTGGGTGGGTTTGTGTCTGTTCTAAGACCCTGTGGTTCTCTCCAAGGAAGTCTCCTGTGAAGTTGGGAGTTTCTCCTGCTGCTGCAACCCCCACAGGTGTTTTCAATCTGTGGTTTGAGGCTTTACTTCCCCACGCTGGAACCCTGGGTTGTGTGGTCTGTCTTGCTCCCCAGTTGTCCCTCCCAGTTTATCTGCACTCCAATGTGAGACCACCTGCTCTGCCAGCTGCTGCCTTGTCATGAGTCCTCTCTTACCAGCTGCCCATCTCCAACCCTCCTACAGGTCTGGGTGAGTGTGTCTTCTTTAACTCCTTGGTTGTCAGACTTCGTACAGTTCAATTTTCTGTCAGTTCTGGTTGTTTTTTGTTTTTAAATTTGTTGTTGTCCTTCTTTTGGCTGTGTGAGGAGGCACAGTGAGTCTACCTATGCCTCCATCTTGGCTGGGAGTCCCTAATCACCTAATATTAATCGAATGACTAAAAGGACAAAAGGAAAGGATTCAAGAATTTGTGCATTTGTGTAAATACTTGTAGTAAATATATATAAGATGTTTAGCCCATTTTGTGTATTCAAAATGTTTAATAGCAAAGATTTACTTAGTAGTCATTCCTTCTCATTTTTAATTCCCCCCCAAAATATTTTCATGTAAAATCTATGTTTTTTCCAAAGGCACAGGTCCCTCTCTCTGGGTGAACCTATTTTTTTTCCCCCAGGCACTCTGCCTTTCACAAAGAAAAGAGAACTCTCCCCAGGGCTCCCATGGGCTTCTCTGGAATCAGTTGTGTTGCTGCGCCGGTGAAATCTGTTTCGAAATGAGAAAATTGATGTGGAGTCTTAAAGGAGGAAGGATAACATCAAAGCAAGCTTAGCTTAGTTACCCTTACAAGTTATGGGATTTTCAGGTAGTTTGAAACCATTAAGAAAAGAAAAAAGATTTAAGGAGGAACACTATAAGGAATGCAGGTCTGAGTTTTCTGCCCTTCACAAATGTAAAATCCCTTTATTTAAGGGTTTTAAAATGGATTACGTATCATTGATTTACTCATAGAAACGGTAAGATTTCATATATTCAAAGGGTTATTTGGATAGTAATCTTACTAAATTTATTGTTTCCCTTTTTTAGTCTGCATGCTTTTTGGGTATTTTTCATGGCTTTTATAAACTTCTTCAAACGTACACAAGAATAAACAAAATCATGAATGAACTCTCATACACTTATCACTCCATTTTCAGTAATTATCAAGCCATATTTTACTTGCTTTATTTTTTCTTTTTCTTCCTTTTGTTTTCTCACCCTCCCTTCTTCCTTCCTATCTTCTTTTGCTCTTTTTTTCAAGCATTTTAAGAAAATCCCAGGTCATTTCACTCCTACATAATTCCTCTATAAAATATGGACTTTTTAATGAACACAATTTTATTTTCACAACTAACAAAAACTTCCTTAATATCATCACAGACACAAATTTCATGTTTTTTTTTCAGTTGTTCATTCAAAAACAAGATCAAACAAGGTTTCCAAATAAACCTACTTTTTGTGTCTTTTTAGTTTCAGTTAAGCAGGAAAACCCTTTCCTTTTTCCATGTCATTGATTTGTGGAAGATAAATTTAATTTTTTTTACTTTCAAATATTTTAAATTTTGTTACAAATACAACTCCAAAGATTTTCACTTAAAGGAATCTTGTATCTTTTAGTCCCTGCTAGCTTACAAAAAGCAGGCAGAGTTTCAAAGCAAAATAACCAGGTTTATAATGGAGGAGATGGGGAAATTACACTTTTATCAACTTATTTGGAGCAATAATATTAAAGAGATTTAGAGGTCTCATTCTTCAGGAGAAACAAAACATTACTGAGTACAACATGTACTTCAGTTACATTTTCCAAGTTTATCACTATTAACACTTGTTGCTCCCTCAGTTGCTTCATTTTTAGCTGTGTAAAGATCTCTGAAAATTGGAGGTTATACCAAAATCGAGATAAATTGTTGAGCCTGAGACTTCTGGTTCTCTATCTAGCATATATCTTACCTTCTTCCTTATGAACCACATTCTAACTTGACTGGAGACTGAAATGTGTCTAACTGTAGAATATGTTTTTTTAAAAATATATTTTATTGATTATGCTCTTACAGTTGTCCCATTTCCCCCGCCCTTATTCCCCTTTGCCCTGAACACCCCCTCCCACCCACATTCCCCCGCTTTAGTTCATGTCCACGGGTTGTACCTATAAGTTCTTTGACTTCTACCTTTCCTATACCATTCTTAACCTCTACCTATCTTCTACCTGCCATTTATGCTACTTTTTCTCTGTACCTTTTCCCCCTCTCTGCCCCTCCTACTTCCCCACTGCTAACCCTCCATGTGATCTCCATTTCTGTGATTCTGTTCCTGTTCTGGTTGTTGGCTTAGTTTGTTTTTGTTTTAGGTTCAGTTGTTAATAATTGTGAGTTTGTTGTCATTTTACTGTCCATATTTTTTACCTTCTTTTTCTGAGATAAGTCCCTTTAACATTTCAACAATAAGGGCTTGGTGATGATGAACTCCTTGAACTTGACCTTATCTGAGAAGCACTTTATCTGCCCTTCCATCTGCCCTAAATGAGAGCTTTGCTGGATAGAGCAATCTTGGATGTGGGTCCTTGCCATTCATGACTTTGAAGACTTCTTTCCAGCCCCTTCTTGCCTGCATGGTTTCTTTTGAGAAACCAGCTGACAGTCTTATGGACACTCCTTTGTAGGTAACTGTCTCCTTTTCTCTTGCTGATTTTGAGATTCTCTCATCTTTAATGTTGGGTAATGTAATTATGATGTGCCTTGGTGTGTGCTTCCTTGGGTCCAACTTCTTTGGGACTCTCTGAGCTTCCTGGACTTCCTAGAAATCCATTTCCTTTGCCAGACTGGAGAAGTTCTCCTTCTTTGTTCAAATAAGTTTTCAATTTCTTGCTCTTCCTCTTCTCCTTCTGGTACCCCTATGTGTCAGATGTTGGAACATTTAAAGATGTCCTGGATGTTCCTAAGCCTCTCTTCATTTTTTTTAATTCTTATTTTTTAATTCTGTTCTGGATGAATGTCTCTTCCTTCTGGTTCACACTGTTGATCTGAGACTTGGTTTCCTTCCTGTCACTGTTGGTTCCCTGTATATTTTCCTTTATTTCACTTAGCATAGCCTTCTTTTTTTCATCTGATTTGTGAACATATTCAAACAATTCTATAAGCATCCTGATCACTGGTGCTTTGAACTTAGCATCTGATAGGCTGGCTTTCTCTTCATCGCTTCCTTGTATTTTTTCTGGAGCTTTGATTTGTTTTTTCATTTGGGCCATTTTTGGGGGGGGGGGTTCTCAGCATGCCAGTTATGTAGTGAGGGACAGAGCCTTAGGTGTTCACCTGGGCAGGGCAACCACATCTCTGCGTTGTCGT